TTATTATTATATGTGAGTAATGAACTCACAGAATGAAGCTTTTACTTTAATAGCAAAAGTTGAGGTATGAATGGAATAAATTCTGTGTTTCATTAAACGTATGACTTAATATTTTTAAGTTCATCAGGAGGTGTGCGGCAGTGATGGGGAGGGAGGCAGTTCCTATAGAGGCACTGGTGGAGAAAAGGACTAGGGCAATGATGAAGTCCATAAGGGGCAATGGGAGCCATATTTTGCACAGCACTATCGTGGCTCAGGAAAGCAGCCATAGTTCGAGTTTGAACTCTTTGATAAGCAGAACTAAGAGATACAGAAGATCTTTTGTCCCACCTACCATTAGACACTTTAATGCCTCTTTAAGGAATAAGGGTTTTTATCCATTCATCCATCCATTATCTGACACGCTTGTCCCAATTAGGGTCGCGAGGGGTGCTGGTGCCTATCTCCAGCTGTCAATGGGCGAGAGGCGGGGTACACCCTGGACAGGTCGCCAGTCCATCTCAGAGTGTTTTTATATTATTATTATTTATCTTTTTATTTTATTGTAACAATACTACCCATACAACATTTTTTATTGTAGAAAAAATGTATTTTGTTTTATAACTTGTGTCAGAGGAGAAAAACAATTAGCAGAAAATATAGATGGAAATATGAGGTAACAGTCTAAATACCAGCCTCCAACCCATTTGATATGAATATTTAAAAAAAACACGCTATTCAACTGAAATACACACAAAAAAAATATTGAAATTATCAAGACATATTCTGCTAAATAAGTGATTTTTTTTCAGTCTTACAGTGTGTTTTCTAGTAAATATCCATAGTGATTAAGTTTTTATGTGATGATTGTTGTTTAGCTTTCACTTCATTATTCAATATTTCTTTAATCTCTAATTTTCTACACACTGTCATCTTGGCAAATTTTACTCAACAGAAATTCATATTGAAATATTTTAAAATTCTAACTAAACACATATGTACTAAGTTGCTTGTTTAAATAAATAAAAAAACATAGCAAAGTGAGTGTCTAAAAAGCATCTTTGCTCCATGTGCTAGGTATGAGTTAACACACACACCTGGCCTCATAAATAGGCATACCGATTGTTTTTAACTTTTTATTTCAGCAAAATTAGCTTCAAAAGCCTGGCTCGCATGATGAGAGGCTATGAGAAACTGCTTGAGTCACCAAACATTCCCAATAACTTGAAATGATATATTATGTCTATCTGTGGTTGTAATGTGTTAGTGTAGAGTACCACCTCAGGAAAGACGGATGCCTCACCTAAAGTGGGATCAGTTTTGGACCAAGAAGAGCATTCCCATGATTAGATCCAGTCTGCTGTGCATGAAGGACTGTTATTGTATTATGGTGCACTAGCTGCTGGAAATCATCCAGTTTCCCCGAGCTTTCCTCCTCGTCTCTTTTCCTCTGACATCCTGAAACGGCGGCCAAAACAGATCTTCTAAGTGCTGACTCTCAGCTATGCAGGAGAAAAGAGAGACAGATTCTGGGAGGATAACCTTTTCACACAGCAGAGTGTCTTAGTTGCCTAATGAGTAGTAAGCTACACTATATGCAGCAGCATTATATGATTATGGAATCAGAGAAAAACTGGAAAGAAATTATTCCCAAACAAACTTAATCAAGATACCTTTACTGTTAAGTTAAAAACATATCAAGCACAGGGTGACACATTAAAACTATTGTTCAATTTAGGGTAACAATGCTTTTATGTTTGCAGTGATAATCCCTGTGTGAACCATGTTGTGCAATAGGTCGAGCTTTTTATTTTTTAGAGAGAAAACTCAGAGATTTCCGAGTGGATTTTCCAAGCCTGAATCAATCCAACATGAACCCAAATGACCCCAGTCTTTGCAGTGATTTATCCCACCGCACTGCCTAAAGGATGTCCCAAGTCTGTGGACTTTCTGGAGCATAGACTAACTCTTACATAACTGCAAATAATTTAACAGACAGATACAGTCACACCCTGTTGCTAAAGCAGTCTTTCCCTCTCTTATAGAGGCAGAATTTCTGAAATGACAGGGAGACCTTCAAAAGAGAAATGATTAAATTTATTGTGCGCACCTTTGTTTTATTCTGACTCTTGGGAATGTGCATCTGTCTGCATGGTGTTTTCACCGGCCATGATGAATCAATCATCCACAGACCGGAGTATGAGAGCTTCCTACAGAGCCACACAGCCCCTGAAATGTCTGGCTCCTGGCATTCAACACCTGGTTGAGCACTCAGATGTGGGCTCAAACCCAAATTGTTGTTCTAAATTTTTCTCCAGCACCCTATCTGCCAGGAACAGTGGACGAAAGAGACTGGAAATTTTTGCGTCGTCAATGCTGACACTACTTTAGTCCATTTAGGACAATGGCAGCTTGTGTATAGGAGAGACGGTGCAGACATGGTTACCCTGAAGTACTGCAGGGTACCTTTGCAGGCTGGAAGCTTGTTGGAGCCCATGTACTGTAGGCAACCACAACACCAACGGCAAGTTCCATATGAAGCATTGATAGGCAGTAAATTTATAGTCAGGAAGAGAAAAGGAATGTAAAGATTCTTATCTCCAAGAGAAATCAACATCTAGGCTCTTTCCTTATGCAAAGACTCAAGTAAGTATACATCCGATGATTGAAAAGACAGTTTAAAGAGTTTAATGTGTGCATCTGAATCTTTAATTTTGGATTATTTCAAAAGCTTCCTAAAATCTAGTTAAAAAAGATTTTCCAAATATGAGAATACTGACACACATTTGAACAATAAATTTGAAAAAGAACCTCCATAAAAGCTTTAATATTTTGAAGACTCAAAAGGCCGTCTGTGTGCAGATTAACTTGTAATCACTGATCTCAAAGATCAGTCAAGGAAATTTTTATGGGAATTTAGAGCAAATAAGTTCCTGTGATTTAAAGGTTTGTGTTGGTGCTATATTAAATATGTTATATAATTTCTAGAAATAGGCAAATAATCAGTATATAAAATTTTGTGCGTCCCGCTTAGCAAGGGCAGTCCTAAAACTCAAGCATTGACTGTGAAGAAAATGATGCAAAACAAACCCTCAAGCCGGTATTATTGCATGCCTGGGTTTACCGCAGAGATTGAGCAGCACCAGCAGCTGAGCTTGTGTTTCACATATTCTCTGAGTGTTCTGTGTTTGAAGAAGTTTCAAGTAAGTTTGGGCAACTCAGGGAAAATGAAAACTTGACAATGATATCTGTCCAAATGTTTCCAGTTCTCTTTCCAGTGGTTGAAGATTTTTTGTCTTGTTAAAATTCTGTATTTTGCACAAACAAGCTTCACCAAAAAGAGAGTCCAGTTTATTAAAGCTGATCTTTTATTACCTTTGTTTTCTAGACCTAGCAGTATTTTTTATTTGGAAGTACTAAAGTTTAGCTGCTTGCATTTGCTAAAAGTCTTTTTTCAGTTCAAAATCAGTTGGTTAAATATAACTAAACTAGGCATTTTGATTCTTGTTTCTAAGATAACTAAGACGCCTAGCTCAGGATTTAGTTATAGTTCTAATTAACAACTGTAGGCTCCTTTGGACCAAGCCACTCACTATCAATACATCAACTTGAGAGACAATCTCAGCTGTACTCATGCAGAATTTTATTTTCTATTATATCGTTAAACACCTAAAAGATTAAATCAAGTGGAACGTTACGATACAAGAACAATTAATAGCAGGTAATGTGCTCTAACTAAACATTTTAGCTATAAGCTTCTCTAAATGCCATTGGTTGTAGTAAATTTGAGCTTGGAGACACTGCAGTCTGCTGGCTAAAAGGAAAAGTGCACTAAATAAGGCCTTTTTATTTTCTCCATTTCACATTTTTAAATTCAAATTTATCTTCTCAGAGCTCAAGTTTCTTATGAGTGGCATTTAATGATAAATGTTCAAGTATTTAACTGAAATTATAAAAAGGAAAAAACAAGCATAGAAAATGTTTTTAAAAATGAATTTAAAATAAAAACAGACTATTAGCCTCAAGAGTCCAGAGCTGAAGAAAAAATAAATAAAAAATGTCTTCTGCAAAAAACAAACATGTTTTTGCATCTTTGAATCTCTTCCGCCACTAACTTGAAGCAGCAGATGCTGCTCATACTGAACTGGATCTTCTTAGGATTTAATCCAATTAGAAGGCATATTCTCCTTGTTCCCACTTATGAAGTCACTGACCGCATGCAATCGGCTCGACTTCCTTAGAAAGTCTACCAACTAGAATTACGTGATTACCAAAACTTGACTCTAATGTAATATAATTGAGATTGAAGTGAGGTAACGTGAAACAGGAGCCATTCAAATTAAAAAAGCTCAGGTGATTAAAGAGGAAAATTATGTAAAAAGAGCTATGGATGCTGCCAGCTCTCTAGAAGTCTATAAACTTACACACATTAACCAATTTTGGTGCCTCTTACATTGGAAAATGCACAACTAAAAAAACCATAGCAAATTACTTTGCTAATCTTATTAAGGCAGCCTGTCTGTCTGGGGCGTTGAGTTCAACAGATTTCCCTTAAAAACAGAGGTAAACCGGTCTGCTTCAGGAAAGTCAAAGATGGCTAAAAAATTAAAAAAAATGAAACTCATGTAGAAAATTAATCAGAATGAAGTTAAGATTACCTGTCTTCAGATTACAGTATCTGTTAAAATTTGTTTACTTAAATGCTGGATCAGCTACTAAAATGTCCAGGAAATAACAGCCCTCAGAATAGCCATACAGAAACACATTTCAAGCTTTTACAACTCAAATATTACTTTATTATATTACATCAAAAACATGGACAGTCATTACATTGTAGGATCCTTGTGTTAGACAAAGATGTTCCTCTGAGTATACAACCCCTAGGCACCAGTTACATGGGTGTGGATAACAAAAGACAGCTTCTATGTCCAATGAGGACCATTTATTGTGCGCTTCGACAAGTCTGGGGGTTTGTATTTGCAGATGTCTTGGCTTTTCGCTTTGATTTTAACACGTCTTTCCTTATTTAAAGGATGAATTGTTTTAAACAGTAAAACACATTGGATTTACTTTTTCCATTAATGCTACAACCAATCTCTGAGTTAAAACCGAGTGTTTGAATGTCAGGGCTGTTTATTTGAGGCAATTATTTGCATCTACCATTTGATCCAGATTTTGATACAAGGTGCTGTGGTGGGAAGATTGATTCCTCTACTTTTTGGCAACCTGCAATCGCTCGTGGACATTCTCCCAGTTGATCACATTCCAGATAGCCTTCACATAATCAGGGCGCACATTCTTGTACTGGAGATAGTAGGCATGCTCCCAGACGTCAATGCCAAGGAGAGGGATGAGTCCTAAGGGATAAACAAAGTTTACATAACGATAAACAAAAGGTAGATGTTGGCTGTCCCATTTTTTGAAAACCAATTCAAACCAACCTGTTGTCCCCTGCAGGGGATCCTGGTTAGCACAAGCAGCAATCCGAAGTCGCCCGCTGTCCTTGTCATAACCAAGCCATCCCCAGCCTGAGCCCTGTACTGCAACGGTAACAGCCGCCATCTTCTCCTTTAACTTCTGGAAGGAGCCAAAGTCCCGTTTGATGGCCTCCATTAGCTCCCCTGGACAACATCAAACAGATTGGTTTTACTTTACAGCCATAACATCAGGAAAAAGAAACTCATATCACCGACTTGCAGACTAAAAATTAGCTGCTAGGAATGAGTGACCTCCATAGGCTTCATATTTAGGATTGTGTGCACAAACAAGGAATTTTCCTGCCTCGTGTATTGATCAGCGCAATTGCATTGAGCAATAATACAAATATAAAATATATAAATGTTAGAGGAAAGTAAAAAAATAGCATGTGTACAAATGTGTTATATATATTATTTAAAAAAAAATTAAGGCAAGTTTTTAGAGTAAATATGCACATTTTGTTTAATAGTACAGGGGCCGACTACAGGGACTGTAAGGCATCAGATCGACAGCCTGGGGGGATAAAAACTCACTGCAGCAGACTTTCCCTTTAAAGTTTCAACAGTTTGTCTGCATGATGTATATAGTTTGCAAGTAGTCAGAAACGCTTTGGCTGACTCCAGAAGACATGCACTAGATAAAGGGAAGGTCAGTCCCAATTTAAAAAGTGTCTAAGCTAGCCAAAAACTGCTGTGATTGCCCCCTAAGCTGTGAACTAGTAGATGTGGTTTCCCTGGATAATTCAGGACAGATATGTCTTTAAAAAAATGCAACCATTCTAATCATCACTCTTCCACAAACAGTCTGACTTGATAGCTTCACATTTAATGATCACTTATGTTTGTTTGTTTTGGAAAAATATAAAAACTGTATAATAAAATTTTAAAAACAACAGAATAAATAGTTTGTTTTTTTCTCACCTTGAGGCTCACCTCCACCATTTGGGGAGAGATTTGTCCAAAAGATAGTGTGGTTAACGTGACCTCCTCCATTAAACTTCAAAGCAGGCTGAAGTGCAACTTGTGCAGTCACATCTCCTAAAATAATTCACACACACAGATGGATCAATGTCAAAATATAAGACATTGAGATAAAGAGATTCCCAAACCATCCAAAGCATAAAAAAAAAAAAAAAAAAACTTTGTCAGAAGAGACTTCAATCAAACTAATACATGTGACTGTCTTTACCCTTTGCAAGAGCCTCTTGATATTTCTCCTCTGTAACATTAAGGTTGTTAACATATGTGGCGTGATGCTTGCTGTGGTGAAGCTGCATAATCTCTGCACTGATATGAGGCTCCAAGGCTCCATAGTCGTAGGTCAGATCAGGGAGTGTGTGCTTCTGCCTTGATGCAGCTATCAGATTTATGCTTTGGCTGAGGCTGGCAGCACACCTGGAAAGAAACAGAAGGAAGTGAACATGTTTAGATAAAACCTTTAATGCAGTCACTTTAAAAATGGACACTTATATTTACCTGGGATTAATATGACAGATCAGGATAAATGAGATGTACAAGCAAAATGACACATGGTTCAATATTTTAATTGGGGAAAAAAAAAATCCCACACTCACAGCGGTTTACATTTTACTCTGTTAACCATAAATTAAACAGAGTAACCACAGATTGCATAATTAGTTCGAGTGTATGCATGTAACCCATCTTCCCTGTCATATTAGGTAAATATCTAACAGCTAAAACAACATGTGGCTTCAGTTGTACCATTTATTTTGTATTAATGTTCAAAATAGTATACATTTGACCCGAAACAGTACAGCAAAAACACAAATTAGGCAAAACATTCTTATCTTTTTCATAAAACAACATAATGAGTTGAAATTCTTGCCCAGAACTTGATGAGCTAGCCGTTAGCTCTCAACAAGCAACTGTTACAAGTTAGCATTTACTCCGTTAGCAAGAAGTAGCTCTCCCGTTCTTTCTGCTGCTTAAACCGTCTTAATCCTTGCTACTTCTAAGCAGCTGGCAATCTTACCTGCGTATTTTCCCAACTCTACACAGCATGTTTCCTCTGGTTCTTTAGCAGCACACAACAGCTTGGTGAATAATTGCAATTGCCCTTGAAATGTGCAACTTCAAGTTGACAGTCCAGGGGACCGTACCATTATAGATAGGACAGGGGGGTTCGTGAGGTACGCAGGACTTATATAAGCCTCCACAGGGGACAGCTAATACCATGGAGGAGAAGCATACTACGAGCTATAAACTAAAGTAAAGATTGTTGTTATTATTATTACATCCAATCAATTTTAAATTTGCAACCGTTTTGAAATAAATATCGAGTCGTTTTTCTATAGCCTTGATTGAATGGGTTGTATCATGGAAGTGTTATAGGTGTTATTGGTTGTTCTAAACCTGAGCAGAGGTCGAAATTTTAAATGTATTTACATTTTGAAAGGATTTATGAGCTACAGTAAACAAACAAGAATCATATAAAAGAAAAATGAAATACGCAGAAGTGAAATGGAACAGTTCCTTCTCTACGTCACAAGTTATATCAGAGATTGTATATAACAAGTATGATGAATCACTTATAAATAAATAAATTATTAAAGCTTCTTTAAAAAAATAATTTGGAAGACTGATATTTAATTTATAAGCAATACATGTGCATTTAGAAAGAAAGAAGTCTAAAATAAACGTAACATTGTTAAGTCCTCAGGGAACGCTGCTGAAAACGTAAAGGATTGTGATTTTTTTTTATCTGTGGGATTTCTATGTTATAGTGTTCAGTTTAAGCAAACGCGTTTTTCAAAGTTAGAATGCTTAATAACCCAGAAAAAAAAGTTAAATCTGAAGAAGCTTTAACAAATATAATGTACAACCCAGTTTGTAAAGAATATGTATACAGATACATCTTAATATCAGAAACCAAACGTTGTTGTTATTTTCATCTGTGTAATAAATCTTTACAAGGTAGGAGTTTAACTCTCTGAAATAGAGGATATTCATTTTAGAGAGGAGTGAGACATCCTCTTTGGAGTCCCTCTTTGGTATTGCTCCGCAGCGGCCGGAGTGCAACCCAGCAGCAGCTCGTGAGAGCCATTCTGTTCTGTTCAGCTCTCGTTGAGGATGAAAGTACAGACACCGAAGCGTGACTGAAACTTGTAAATTTCTTTTGCGAAACTTAACGCATCTCTAATACTTGGACCACGGAGAACTAGTAAAGCAGAGCGTTTCCCGGAAACATCGAAAGGAACGGGCCTGGTGAGTGTTTTTTTTTTGATGGCGTTAGGCCTGGCAGCCGCAGCCAAGAGCCCGCTAGTTTCAGGAAAAGAAGCGTAAGGGAGGGAGTCATTTCCTTCAGCGCCATTTTGTGATAACAAGGAGTCGAACTGGATCCAATAATTAAACATAACCCATAACGCCTTTAAAGTAGACCTAATTGTTAAACTGCTGTTGTTCTTGAAAGCGTTTAAGGTTCAACGGGTTGATACATGTGACTTATAGTCAGCAGTTAACCTTGGTTAGCGTATTCCCCGTGTGTCGCTGTTAACAACTGCCGCTATTGAACAGTTGGCCGAACAGCGTTTAGGAACTGGCTATGTTAACTTTTAGATGATCGAAATATTGAACAGTGATGCACCATCATATATCGATTACGTATCTCCGAGTGTGCTAAAACAGTGCCATGTCTGTCAAACATGTCACATTGTAGCGGGTTGCCAGCAACCGGCCCTTGGCAACGGAGAAGATGATGCAGTGACTTGAAGCTGCGGTTGCTGATCGGTTTTCTCTCATTTCTTTACCTCTAGCTCACAATGACCAACGAGGAGCCTCTTCCCAAAAAGGTTAATTTCTGTTCGTTGTGTTATAAAGATAAAATGCATTGTGAATCCCATTGTTTCTTAAATGTGTACAAAATAATTTGACCTGTCTGTTTTTTTTATTCCTCACAGGTTCGCCTGAGTGAATCTGACATGAAGACCTTGACCAGAGAAGAGCTTTGTGCAAGGTATCACTGTCATTGCAACCTGGTGATTTGTTTATTTTTTCTTTTCTTAAAGCCTCTCACTAATGATTAAAAATGCTTTGTTTTTGTACAGGTGGAAGCAACACGATGCATATGTCCAGGTCTTGGAGGCAAAATATGCAGAGCTCTGTTGTACGTGCATTTGTTTTGTTTTTTTACGCATTATATCATTATTTTTGATGAGTGGAAGAAAAAAAAACCTAATGATGTATTTTCCCCCCCCCCTCTTGTAGCCAATGATGTGCCAGGACTGAAAGAGTCTGAGGAAAAGCTCAAGCAGCAGCAGCAGGAATCTGCACGCAGGGAGAACATCTTAGTGATGCGACTTGCCACCAAGGAGCAGGAAATGCAAGAGTGCACAGTAAGTATCAGTTTGAAATTCATTTCAATTTGATTAGACTTTGGTCAATGGCTGATCGTGTTTTTCAAAGAATCGATGCTGATAATTTCATTTGTGATGCATCGAGTCACTAAAAATATTAACTCTTCACAGAAGACTGATTAAAGAAATATCAAAGTCATTTTACTTTTTGAATGCAAGGACTGCTTGCTGAGAAAGGCACTGGATATTTCTGTAGTAAATGGCGATTTAAAATATTGATCAACTTGATTCTCAACAATATAGGTGCAAACATATGCTGTGCAGGCTGCCTTGTTTTTGTTTTGTTTGTTTGTTTGTTTTTTTCACTCTGGACAAATGTCATGCTATATTTATTCAGGTTTATCAAAAATGGGCCACCAGCTAATTAATGTGAAGGCAGCTTTTCCGTTTGCCAGGTCAGAGTTTATTACTGTTTAGAGATCTATTTATTTATTTTTTTTAGATTTAGGATGCCGTTTCAATTTATCGTAAAGATGATCCGAATTTTCAAATCGGAGAGAGAGAAAAAAAAACTTGGCTGTGTTGAAAATGATCTTTCTGTTAGAACTGGAACATCAGCCTTTGCATAATTTAACTCACAAAGAACAGCTTGGGTGCAATATTATTTGCAATGACATATTTAGGAAAGAAAAATTCATTTGGCTGCAATGTCATTAGCCCTGATGCTGACACCTTTAGATCATAATGTGCCGTAGAAGCGTTGGAATACTTTAACAAAACAAGAGTGAGAAAAATAGTAATTTCTTTGCAAACACCATCATCGTCTTCAGTTTTATGTTTTGAGTGACTGCTGAATTAAATGAGAGAAAATGCATATTCATTTATCTGTGACTAAAATGTATTTATCACCCTCTGCAGACCCAGATTCAGTACCTCAAGCAAGTCCAGCAGCCGAGTGTGGCCCAGCTGCGGTCGTCCATGGTGGATCCAGCCATCAACTTGTTTTTCCTCAAAATGAAGGCTGAACTGGAACAGACTAAAGACAAACTGGAGCAGGCCCAAAATGAACTGAGTGCCTGGAAATTTACACCTGATAGGTAAAGACAATCAAAATAACTCCCCCCTTCAAACAAAAAGTCAAGACTTCCTCACGCCCCCCACCCTCACTCTCACTGCAGGCATGCAGGAACAATGGTGGGGCGGAAGGCTGACAAAATGCTGTACTCGTCACAAGACTCAGACTTTACAGAAAGCCAGTCACTGCAAAAAAAAAAAAAAAAACAACAAAAAAAAAAACTGCTTTTGTTCTCTTGTACTGTGCCAGCTACATTTCACATAAGCTAAAGAGGAAAGACAGTATGGTCAGGTGACACTTGTGTTTCAGCTCTCTTCCCTCACCGTCCGAGGGCCTGAAGGAGTCCGGACTGTTCCGAAGAGGTGGTCGCTCACTGCCCGCACAGGATGATCCCTTCCCAACCCCTCAGCTCAAAACCAGACAGTTCACATTTAAAATAAGGGGCATATGGGGGAGGTCATGTCAGGCGGGGAGCATCCCTAGCCTAAAACATGAATTGAACATTTTAAAGAAAACTTCCATACTTGGTTTTGTAAAGACATTTAACAGTGGACCACATCACACAAATACCTGCTAGCCTTTCTGTGAAATGTAAAGACTTTTGGACAGTCTAGATACATTCCATTCATATGAGGAAAGTCACTAGGATTAAAAGTAAGACTTCTGGGGAAGAGACACTAGAACTGATATAAGACTGAGCGGAGCCAGATCCTCGGTCCACAAAGGGACTATGGTTAAGGCATGAAGGTCCATTCGCCCACACGGGCCGCTACACGGTAGAGTTTATTTAAATGTTTTATTTTGTGAATTGTTTATTTTCCTTGCTATTTAATTTGATCTCTCATTTCTTTATAGCAAACACAGCAGTGTGTGTTGAAACCAAGAGGCGCGATTGGTCTTCATCATTTACTCTTGTGTAAATTTTCAGATCAGGTGTTCAGAAACACGCTGCTGTAGGTGTTCTAAGTCCTGTTGTCAAACTGTCAGTGCAAATGTCCTGCAGGATGCATGTTCTCAGTTAAAGCGGGTGTATTGTTTTGTATTGTGTACTCTTGTGCTTAACAAAATATTTTCCTCCACAGCTTAGAAAATAACTGTCTTCAACATGTGGCTCAGGTATTTTAACTTGTGTTTACGGAGTGAAGCTATCATACCATTTGCTTTTTAGACTTAAAAAAAAGGACTTTACTAAAAGCAGGACTTGAATTAGAGCTCTCAACTGGTTTTCAGTCACAACCAACTTTGCATTTTTAAGGTGTGCAATAGTTACTGAGAACTGCTTCAATGCTGCATTTGATAGGGAGATTTATATTTATTCTAACCAGTTGGATTAACACTTAATATAGATTTAATTAGCCTAGATGTCACAACTCAGGGATAGTGGTTTGTTGATTATTGTGATGGGGGGAAAAATGCTGGTAATTAGCAGTTAGGATCAGTTTGGTAATATTCATCAGTTGTATTGCATGTTCTTGATTTTCTAATTTTAATGCAGCTCTTGGTTAAAGTTGGCAGTGTATTTTTAATAATATGAAGAAAAACAAGAACATTTCAGTTAATGCACTTAGGTTTTGATGTAAAATATATAATTCTAGATTTATTATTCATTAGGAATAAGTCTGGTGTTTTATCTAAATGTTTATCATTGGATAAAGTTGTTACGCTATTTCTCATTCCTGTTTACAATACAAAAGGCATATAAGTGTTAAAGCTTATGCAGTAATATGACTTTAGATAACTGGTGCAGTTATCATTAAGGTGTTTTTTAACAAAAGGTCACAACTGAATCTATTAACATTCTACTTCTCATTGATCTGTTGTTGGACCGACGTCTGGCTGGTTGATTGTGATGTTAACATTTTCATTGTTTTGCCTCAAAGTAAATTCTCCACAGAATCTGTGCAACACTTTTCTGTGCACATTTTCTGTCTAGTATCGATTTATTTAAAGGTTTAGTGTTTTGTGTGGATATAATGCCCCGTGACATTGCTCTAATGACTGCTAAAGCAGTTCCAGTTATGTTGGAAGGGTATAATATTTAAAAGCCACTGTTCTCTTACTTGCCTTGTAAAATGTTGATCTTTGATCCATGTGTATCATGGTAAGTTCAGGTAGACTCTAACAGGTCACTGAAATAGTTCTTTATTATTCTTTCTTTGTTCTTTTTTAAATGTTTTTTTTTTTTAAGTATTTAGATCAGGGAGTCTTTTTTTTTCTTTTTTTCTACTGATTTTATTTAAGTTCAGACCATTTTACCAAAATGGTTCTCATGGATATGTATTCCAAATCAAATTTTCCATTCATGTTTACTATTTCAAAGGCGGCAGATTTGAAATACTAGGGTTGATTAGTGATGTGGTTTTTGAGAGACTGAGGAGTTTCTGTTTAATTCCAGGCAGAGGGAACAAGTCATCAGTGTCTGCCTGCCTTTTACCTTTGTCTCCTTGTTCACTGTGTGATGTGAGACTTGTTTCCCTTGCAGCCAGACAGGGAAGAAACTGATGGCCAAATGTCGGATGCTGATTCAGGAAAACCAGGAGTTGGGCCGGCAGCTATCCCAGGGACGAATCGCCCAGCTGGAGGCTGAGCTGGCCTTGCAGAAGAAGTACAGCGAAGAACTCAAGAGCAGTCAAGACGGTAAGAGAAAGTAACATCTCTCTATCTTTTTGGTCTATTTTGTGTTGAAATGAATTAAGTTTCTGTATTGTCACTTCCAGAGCTAAATGACTTCATCATCCAGCTTGATGAGGAGGTAGAAGGGATGCAGAGCACCATCCTTGTCCTGCAGCAACAGTTGAAAGAATCCCGCCAGTTGCTCGCTCAATCTCAGGGCACATCAGCTGGAGCAGGCCCCAGTAGGACTTCACCCACTGCTTCCAGCTCATCTGCAGAACCCTCTACTCAGCCAGAACAGGCCGGCGCTTCATCTGAACAAGGAGGCAAAGACTACGGGAGGGTCTCCAATGGTCCAAGAAACAGTAGCTCGTCCCAAAGGAGTGAGACCACTACACCTAGCCTGTACAGAGAGGTCAGCAGTGCCGAAGAAGACTTTCCAATGTCCCCTGTGGCCTCCAGCCCCGGTGACACAGAGACCAAACGTCCCAACCACTCAGAGGAGGCGCCAGGAAGTCAAACTGTCTCCGGTAGAGCTGGAGGACCTGCCGGATTCAGGAGTCAGCTAAGCGCGGGGTATGAGAGCGTGGACTCTCCAACTGGCAGCGAGACATCATTCACTCAACACTCGAATGACACAGACTCCACCACCGATCCCAACGAGGACAAGGCTGCCCTGGTGACCAAGGGCACCAGGACTGCAGGGTCACGTCATGCCCAGAACGGCCTGGACTCCAACACAAGTGATGGTGCAGTTTTGTAATGTACTTTAATGTGTTCTATATTTTTTTTTTTTTTTTTTATACAGTATAAAACAAGGCAGCAAATTCATAGTCTGTAACGCAGCTCCGTTGTCCAAGAAAGTTTTCCACCGTTGTCCCTTTGCCTGTTGTGATGCCTTTGTCACATTTGTGTTGCTTAATGGGGATGTAAACAGGATTGATGTTAGATTTAAATTGCGTGGGTGTATGATTTCAGACTATTACATTTCACTGTTTATTTGAGCACAGCTATACTGTTAAGCTGTTAACACTGAAATCAGGCCGTCTGGTGTTGTAACGCGTCAAGTCAGTAAAAATCACTAAATTCCACTAGGTTCTCAATACTCAAGGAGTGCATTTTAAGATGTTGGCCTGTGGTTTTTTTTTTCTTTTGTTTTTTTAGAACAGTTTTTATTTTCATTGGCAAAAAAAAAATCTGTTTTGAGAGTTCTGTTAAAATGTAAGTAGTTTATATGCGATGTCCATATTATTCTTCAGCCCTTTTCATGTACTGACCAAATTCAAAATAAAGATTTTTAATACTATAGAGTGAAACCAATTATTAACAACCAGTAAACTAGAATCAAAGTTTTCAAAGTATAAATTAATGATAGGAAATGGAAATAAGAATAATGAACTGATATGAAAGAAGTAGAGAAGTAAATTTTTATTTTTTTTATGTTCCTTTTTAAAAGAATTACATTAGATATTTAGAGCTCAGATTTTTGTGTAGTTGGAAATAAATAATACTTATTTTTTTTTAATATATGACAGACTGTGAGTTTAATTTTATTGCCACAAATGATTGTCAATAAGGATGCAAATGATAAATCAATGGATGTTTGATATCCCCTTTAGTTTACATATTAAATGTATTGATAAATATTTTTCAAACTCTATTTTGGGGGAGATAATTTTTTTTGTATTTGATTTCTTGTACTATGAAATAATTAAACCCTTACTTGGGTTACCTTGGTAACCTACAGACCAATTAATGATTTGTGTTTCCCCTGCCCTTTGAATACATAAATACAGTAGCTTGAAGACCTAAAAAATTTGTTTCTCAAGCAGCAAAATCTAAATCTATTCTATAGAAATATTTCTATTGTGGCATATTAGATTTTTTAATTTTAAAAACATTTCTTTTGTATTAAATTGTTTTTTGCATGCTAATCAACGAATTGAGATTATAAAAAAAAAAAAGGGAAAATGTTGACCTCTTTATTGCATTTCTCGTTTTGCAAACCTTTGAGTGCTTGTCGTCCTCCTAAACAGAAGGGGGCGCTATTATTTCCTTGGGTTCCATCTGTACACCCCCTATTTAAACGTCCATGCAGTGTCAACAGAGCTGTGTGTTAGTGGACAGGAATAGAAAGAAGCAAGGACTTCAGCTTCAGACCGGCGTCTTTCAGGATGAACACCGAACCTGTTGTTATCGTTTCTGCCGCTCGGACTCCAATAGGTAAATCCCGAACACCTTTAAGTGCCAGAATCATGTAGTAAAGCAGGACTTTCATACATTGTAACTATTCATTTGTTACATTTTAACATCATGCTGCTGCTTAACAAGCTGTACAAATATTTTAACTATTTATTAAGATTTCGGGTTATATAATATGTACATTTTTATACTGAATGCTGTATGGATAAAGTTATTCCTTTGACGTGTATTAATTAAACAACTGGTTTTGTCCTCCACATAAACGCGCAGGGTTCCTGGTGAATTTTGATTGGTTGGCTTTTGATCTTCAAGTAATCGTAGACATTTCATTGGCTGATAGCCGTAGTGCGATTCAACACGAGCCTACTCCTATTGGCTACTGAATAAATGACGTGAGGCGACATCCAGTTTGGCGTTTTTTCCAGATTTGTTCATTCAATTATTTGTAACTGCATACTGTTAGATACAAGTGGTTTATGGAATTAAAATCAATTAGCGACTGTATTTTTTTAAAATTGGATTTCTGTTATAGGTTATAAGCATAGCTTTCCTGAGTGGAAACTGGCATATATATATATATATATATATATATATATATATATATATATATATATATATACCTGGATCTTTAATCATGATTAATTGGTTTTAGAGACTAAACCAAGCAGATGAAATCTGTATTTAAAAAAATCCAAACAGAAAGAAAAACAGTAAGGTTGTTCAAAAATATATTGTTTAAACCCCCTTTATGTTTTTTAATTTTAGTACTCTTACTGATACATCAACAATTAGGAAGCAATGTAACACCAATATGTCAGAGTGTAAAGATAGATAAAATGTAATTCCCTAATATAACAGTTCCAAAAGTGAGGGAACACAGACACAGCATGAGCCCATTATCAGAAACGGCAACACAGGGAACATTTTGTCTCTAAGACTGATACAAAACATGTCTGTGTCAAAAGATTTTTTTTTTGTATTAAACTGAAAATAGATCTAAAATAGAAAACATTGTAACAAATTGTCTCATACAGGCTGCCTGAGTGGCGCTCTGTCCACGCTGACTCTGAGTGACCTGTGCTCGCCAGTGATAAAAGATGTTCTAAAGCGGGCTGAGGTGAAACCAAATGAGGTCTCTGAGGTTATCATTGGACATGTCCTCACAGCAGGTAAATGTTAATCCATTTATATTTTTAAAGGTTATTGTGTAACAGGTTATACTCTTTTTTTTTTTTCTCTACTTATCTTGCTGTATTGTTTCCCACATTAATATAAACCTTCTCTTTTAGGTCAAGGGCAGAACCCAGCCCGTCAGGCCAGTGTTGCAGCTGGTATCCCGTACTCTGTCCCTGCCTGGAGCTGTCAGATGGTGTGTGGTTCTGGGCTCAAAGCTGTGTGTCTGGGAGCTCAGTCCATCCAGGCTGGAGAGTCCTCTGTGGTAGTGGCAGGGGGTATGGAGAGCATGAGCAGGGTTGGTAACACGAAAAAAATTGTGGAGAAAAATAAATGTACAGACCCTTTAAATCGTTTTTACCCCTTACACTTCTAAAGGTTTCTCATATTAGCATCATTACACTTAGAATAGACATCATAAAGTCATGCACATTTGGAGAAAAAAATATCTTTTAGAGCATCCATTCAATACGGAGCTAGATCTGATTTAGTTTTCCATTTTTGAGAATTTGAACTAAACTCTGAGATGTCCAGAACTCGGGCTACTGCTTTATAAACTACCTCTGTGGAGAAACTGTGTCACTTGATTTTATTTAGTGGTATTATAATAAAGATTTGCTTTTCTTGGTGAATTTTAAAGACATTTTACAAACACAGACTGTTTCATCTTTTTTTTACCTTGATACACTCCTCTGTTTTTCACATAAACTACAACAAAATACAGTACATTTTTAATTGTGACTAACATGAAGAAATGTGAAAAACTTTAAGGGGGTTTGAATCTTTGTGTGAGGATAAAACCAATGGCCTCCTTTGTCTATACTCAGGCTCCTCACACTCTGCAAATGAGAGCAGGAGTGAAGATGGGCGACGTTTCACTGCAGGACTCTATGGTTGCCGATGGCTTGACGGATGCCTTCCACAGCTACCACATGGGAATCACAGGTATTATTCTCTGCAGTAGTTAAACCTCTGTTTTTTTGGTTTTTTTCTTTGTTATACTGATGAATTTTGACATTGATCATTGTTCCTTCTTAGCTGAAAATGTTGCAAAGCAGTGGGCAATCAGCCGAGAGCAGCAGGACGTTTTTGCTGTCAGTTCTCAAAACAAAACGGAGGCTGCGCAGAAGGCGGGACATTTTGATCAGGAGATTGTCCCCATCACAGTGCCATCCAGAAAGGGTAAAGGACTTCTTCAGTCTCTTAGTGACAAATTTGCATCTCTAATTATCTTTAAATGTCAAATCCTGCTCTCCCATTCAGGTCCCGTTGAGGTGAAATTGGACGAGTTCCCTCGACATGGAAGCAACATTGCCAGCATGTCCAAACTCAGGCCATGCTTCGTTAAGGACAGCAGTGGCACCGTCACAGCTGGAAACGCTTCAGGTTCCACTCACTAATGAACCATCAACAAGATGGGTTCCTTTGCACACATGGATTAAAAAAATACTATTTACACAGGAATAAATGACGGAGCTGCAGCCACTGTTTTGATGAGCCAATCAGAGGCTGCGAGGCGGGGAGTAAAACCCATGGCTAAAATTGTCTCGTGGGCTCAGGTAGGCCTTGACCCGTCTGTCATGGGCACCGGGCCAATACCAGCTATCAGGAAAGCGGTGAGATATCAGAGCGCTAAATCATATTGAGTCTTTTTTTTTTCATTATGCAACTTCTACAGTCTGAGTTACTCTTTCTCCCCTTTAGGTGGAGAAAGCAGGCTGGCAGCTGGATCAGGTTGATTTATATGAAATCAATGAAGCTTTTGCTGCACAGTCCCTTGCTGTGATTAAGGAGCTCGGCTTAAAGGAGGACAAGGTAACAGGCTAAAGTTTTATGTCACAATGGTTTGCTTTTTACAACCATCTTGTGATTTCTTATAAAATGATTCCTGGTATTCAGCATTCAGAATACATATATGATAGTGTGTAGGATCAACATGTGGAAATAAGGATTTATGAGTTTATATGTATTGATGAACCTTTTATAGCTCTATTTCTAACCTGTTTTTTTTTTTTACATATTTAAGGTCTAGAAAGAAATTGCGGTTTTACAATGTGGCGTTAAAACAATATCCTTCACTATCAAATGACAAATGCAATATTCTGTATTTATGGAACATGAAGAAAAAGCTTGTAGTTTGTTGTCTAATTATAAATAATAAAAATTTTTGCATTAAAATCTATGTATACACTAGATAAATATAGACAGAAGGCCTCTTTAAATTAGCTGCTGTTGCGTGTTGTCCTTGAAGGAACATTCCTCCCTGAACAGTACCAAACAGATTGACAATACTGTTTCATGTTTGATGTACTTTACAATCCTTCTGTGGACTGGAGTATCATTAGAGCATCTAGTAGGTCTACTCTAGGAATATGCAACTCTGCTCTCATTACTGGCTATATGAAATTTTCTTGGTTTTAGCATAAAATACATTATGCATATAATGCAACCACATCATTCTAAACCTTAAAGACCAATTGTTTGTCTTCCTGGTTTGCAATGCGTATTTATCCTGCAGTCTTTAGTGAGTGAAATAAGTATTTGAACACCCTGCTATTTTGCAAGTTCTCACACTTAGAAATAAGGAGGGGTCTGAAATTGACATCAAAGTTGCATGTCCACTGTGAGAGACACAATCTAAAGTAAAAAAAATAAATAAAAAATCCACAAATCACAATGTATGATACAGATTCACACCTGTATCATACACCGGTATTTGAACACCTGAGAAAATTAATGTTAATATTTGGTGCAGTAGCCTTTGTTTGCAATTCCAGAGGTCAAATGTTGCCTGTAGTTTTTCAACATGTTTGCACACACTGTAGGAGGGATTTTGACCCATTCCTCTCTACTACTCTGGATCATCCAAATGGTCATTAGCAGGCCTTGACATATGCTCGTTTAAGCAGGGGATCTACTATGCCATGCAGATATCAAACTCAGTGAATTACCAACAGTAATATTGGAAACAGTGGTCCAGGCTCTTTTCAGGTCATTGACCAGCTCCTCCCGTGTAGTTTGAGGCTGATTTTTTGCCTTTCTTAGGATCACAGAGACCCCAAGAGGTGAGATCTTGCATGGAGCCCAGTCCGAGGGAGATTGTCATGTTTACCGTAGCTTCGTCCATTTTCCGATGATTGCTCCAACAATTACCAGCCTTGTGGAGGTGAACAATTTTGTCTTTGGGCAGCTCTTTGATCTTGGCCATGTTAGTAGTTGGATTCTTACCGATTGTATGGGGTGGACAAGTGTCTATGCAGCGAACAACTTCAAGCAGGTGCATCTAATTAAGGATAAAAAAATGGAGTGGAGGTGGACTTTTTGAAGGACAACTAACGGGTCTTTGAGGGTCAGAATTCTAGCTGATAGACTGGTGTTCAAATAACTTTTTGCAGCTGTATCACACACAGTTAAAAAATCATAATGATTTCAGGTTTTTTTTGTTTTTTTAAGATTATGTCTGTCACAGTGGACATGCACCTACGAAGACAATTACAAACCCCTCCATGATTTCTAAGTGGGAGAACTTGCAAAATAGCAGGATGTTCAAATCCATATTTTCCTAACCATCTTTAAATGTTTGTCCTTCAAAGAAATTCTGGCTTTTTTTTTTTTGTTTTTCCCGTTCCACAGGTGAATGTGAGCGGTGGGGCCATTTCTTTGGGCCATCCTATTGGCATGTCTGGCTGCAGAGTCCTGGTGACTTTACTACATGCTTTAAACAGGACTGGAGGCAGGAAGGGTGTGGCCTCACTTTGCATTGGAGGAGGGATGGGTGTTGCCATGTGTGTGGAAAGGGTTTGAAACATCAACCTAATTAATCTTAATTGCACTTGATTTAAGTTTGCTAACAATTAAGGGATAATGAAATGTTTACACTGTTAAGTAAAATCTAAAAACGCCAGAGTAACCTCCCTAAAAGCTATCATCACTGTGAATATTAATTTCTGTCTTAACTAGCAAGTACATCATTAATCCATTATGCAGGCAGAAAGTACTAAATTATCTTTAGGCAACAGAAAACATTATGTTTAGCTTTCAAAACAAAGCTGTCTTGCATTGATGTTTAAAATGTTAAAAGTTTTGTTTTAAGCATTTATTAGCAAGGTTTACATTCCAATATGTACTTGTGTGATGAAAACATCTTGCAGGGAAAATTAAATCATAAGAGCCATATTTAACCACATTCTTTAATCTAGTGCTTTCCTGAAAATGTTTAAGCTTTACTGTAATTGCAGCTAATAATGAATAAACACTCATTTACAACCACTGAAGCTTTATTTTTGTGTCTGAAACAAAACAGTCACTAACAGTTCCTTTGGAATAATGAACCTTATAAGTGATGGGAGTGAGAGAAATGCAGAATGCATGGCTTACGCTAGCAGCCACGAAGAGCTCAGAAACATAAATACAGGCAGTAAACCTACAGTGACCGGCAAAGATTTCAACCTTCTAGAGATCCAGATTCTACAGCATCTCTATAGGACTTTCCGCCTTCTTTTGGCTCTGGGAACAGTTTGATGAGGTCGTCGATACGCAGGATGGTGATGGCAGCCTCAGTGGCAAACTTCAGGCTTTTTGTCTTGACCATGGTGGGTTCATACACTCCAGCCTGACGGTTGTCCCTTGGTTTGCCGTTCACCAAGTCCAGGCCGATCCTACAGAATTATAGACAAGATTATCTTAACGTAAATCCGCAACAATAGAAAATCTATTCAATAAAAACTACATTATTCTACACATGTCAACACTAATGTTTCATTTTTCATGGTTTTGTAAATACATACAAGCCTCCTCAGCACAATGAGGACCACTGTGAGCAACATCACATGTGCAAATTGAGGGAAAATGTATATATCATAGCAAGTTACGTGGCTTATAAAAATATTATTACAGCAGCAATTTCCATTAGTTTACTTTTAAGTTAAACAACTCTGCCACTTAAAATGGAAAAATAAACAAAAACAACTTTTTGTACATAAGATGTGTAGCATGCTGAGTCAAGCTTTGGTCAGATTCAGGGTCCTGTTCTAGCCGAAATTAGACTTAAAACCTTTTGGGCATACGGTTTTGTTCACATCAAGGCATTCACATTCTGCACAATGAAATATGTGCTGAAGCTTGTTTTATAGTATAATTCCTTGTACTTCTTTGTCTCTCCCTGTAACTCTATACCGGTTTTTGCATGGGTATAAATTAAATAGCTAAAGCATTTAATGATTAAAAACCATAAATAAAAACACAATGTTACTAGAATGTGAACAAATCGGACTTAAATGTATCTTTTTTCCAAATCTATGCTTCTCCAACAGTCCAAATATGCCTCTTTAAGAACTTTCTGGATGCTGCTTAGGTTTATGCTTCATTAAATTAAATCCTCTTTCACAATCAGTGCTGGGCGCTTAAATGTAGTGTAAATATCCACCATCTGTGAGATCTGCTCCAGTTCCTCAAATATAAGCGCTGCAGAAACCATATCTGAGAATGTTAATTGACCTTTGTTTACATTTTTGCTTCATCATGTGCCTGAATTCAGCCTAAAATAAAGAACAGTGTCCTAAACTGTGTGCTTGTTGGATATCAGAGCTGTTACAAACTAGTGAATTTCATAGGTCTGGAAGCCTAGAATGGTAAATAATTTGGGTCGCCACCTACTCCTCTTTCTGTTGGATTATTTATTTATGCACCCAGAGGGGCTTTTGATGTGCCGAATGAAGTCATTTACTTTACTAAAACTTAAAGGACAATGACTATTCCGAAATGATACAGAAAATCTTTATTGGCCTAATTGATTTAGTTTTTGGATTTTATTTTATGCGCTGCATAGATTTTCTTGTGTACTGAGAATGCGTAAGCAGTGCGCAATTACCTTTTTAGTGAAGTCAAGCATCTCAACCATAAAAACACAATGAACCAGGCAAATATATTAGCAGCATGGAGAATCGAAGTATTGCATTTGAAATAATATCCAAAATTTTGCATCAGAGCCATCCATTCATATATTGTAATGGTAGCTCTGAAATATTATCCATGTCAATTAGTACTTTAAATGAGATGTTCTGCATACTTCTCCTTTTCCAAAACTATTCGGAATTGTCTGTTCCTTTTATCACTGGTTGAAGTTTAATTTTAAAACTAAAATATCTGTACAGCTGTCACTTTTTAAGTATCAATTCTGAAGAAACTGTAGATAAGTGTCCTATGGATGGACATAGATCAATGGGCAGGGCTATGACGGATGCAGCCTTTTGAAAATGGAATAGGGAATAAAGTCTCAAAAAATCCATTTGTTTTAAAGCATTTACATTTTATACCTATGCAAACTGTAGGGACCCTGCATTCAGCCGGTTAGGTTCTGCACCTCATCAAATACTAAACTCACCATTTCAGGTTCTTGCGCTCAGGGTTGACCTGAGCTTCATTATGGAAAGCCCTCAGCTTGGCCACCAGGTCTGTGGAGTCCTGGGCTGCATTCACAGCCAGAGTCTTGGGTATGATGAGAAGAGACCTTGCAAACTCAGCAATGGCCAGCTGCTCTCTGGAACCCTAAAAACAAATTATGTTTAAAACTTTGATTTACTCTCTCTAAAGGAAGCCTTACACATGAAGATTTTATAAACCTACCATGCTGGTAGCATAGTTTTCCAGGTAAATTGACAGTGCTGCCTCGACAGCGCCCCCTCCTGGTACAACAGACTTAGACTCAAGGACCCGCTTGACCACGCAGAGAGCATCATGCACTGAACGCTCCATTTCGTCACACATGAAGTCGTTAGCTCCACGCAAAATGATGGAGGCTGATGTGCGTGCTTTTGTACTAATGGAGAGAAAACAGCATCGATAGTAAAAAGGACATCCTTTCCTTCCCAGCTAAAAATTAGAATCTTCTAATTTTTATATCATTTTAACAAATTAACAAAATATAACATCAGTACGGAATAATTTGTATCATAAAAGTACAACTCTAAATGTATATAAAAATATTTACTTATCAAGTTTTCAAAAAACACCTCAGATCAATGTAAAGGTTTAACTTTTTACTAATTAGTGCCATTTTAAACCACAGCCCAGAGCTATGTGAGACTGCAGCAGTTCTTACTTCTTGATCAGGATGAGCTCATCATCGCAAATTCTCTCCTGGACAACCTCCTCAGCCTGGCCGAGCATAGTGGCTTCAAATGTTTCTTCTCCTTCCAGATTGGAGAGGGAGGGGCAGACGGTGGCTAAAATACACGCAAAAAAAAAAAAAGTCAAATTTTATTGTTTCTTCTTCATTTAAGGACATCAACACAAACAGGACAAAATACTCTATTCCTACCTCCTGTTGCTTTTGCGATGCGTTTAAGGTCCCTCTTGAGAACCCGCCTCACTGCCATGGCTCCACTATCCACAAAGTACTTCAGACACATATCATCAATGCCCCCAGTGGTCAGTACAACATTAGCTCCAGCTGCCAAAATTTTCTGAATCCTCTCTTTGGTGATGTCAGATTCCCTAAACCAAACAGAATACACAAATTAACATCCAAATATTCCTACAAGGAACCCAGAGCAGAGAGAAGGTGGAATTTAACAATATAAAACAAGAAAACTAGGGTTCTTAAATTGTGTCCAGCTCAAAGTAGTGGTCCTGCAGCTTAGAGAGAAGCTGCAGCCTTGACTTGTGGCTGATAATATTTTCTCCCACGCGTATCACTGTAAGAACTATTGCAATAGTACCACAGCAAAATAAAATGGGATTATTCTTTAAGGCAAGGAAACACAGGCGTATGATCCATAACCTACCGCTGCCTGATCTGGTCGAGTTTTTCTGGGTCATTGATGATGACCTGGACTCCCATCTTCATCTTGGTTTTCTGTAGGCTGAAGTCTAGACAGGCTATCTTAGCATTTACGATACGCTTCACCATTTCTGTTGGAATAAAATATAAACATTCAACAGCAGGAAAAAAAAAAAAAAGTATATTTTTATGTATGTTGGTGATTAGCTTCAGATTTTTTTGTGTGGTTTTAAAAAAGAATCACAGTAAACAATCCCACTGTGACTTTTTTTAATTTTAAAAGCGGTTTACTTTCTCCCACGCGTATCACTGCATACACCACTAACAAAGATATAGCAGTAAAATAATGGGAGTTTAATGAAACTGCATATATTCCAGATGAGTCAGTAAGATGCATACCTTGTGAACCAACTGTGCAGTTGACTGCATATCCATTGACCAGGAAGCTTTCTTTCTGGCTGCGGCCATGAGCCTTCAACACATTGACAGAGTTGATGGGGTATTTGGCCACTCCTTTGCCATCAACAAACTTAACAGCCATTGCAGCATCAACTACTATGTTAGCGAAGAATTCTGAATCACTAAGGGCCCCCAGTCAAGGAACATAGAGGACATTGAATTGGTTTCCACATTCAGACTACAGTCAAACATCATCAGAACACATTTTAAAATAACGATAAAATAATCAGGATACACTCCAATGATTTTGGAAGACATGGAGGTTTTCGCTGCGTTGATTAAGCACTCTCTTCCCAGATCATCTGTCCCAATAGTCAAATTTTCATTGATGTAACGCACCGCCTCTCTGGAAGATCAAAAATAAGCATTTTTAAAGATCATCCTGATTTGCATTCAAGAAAGTCTCAATCATGATTTGCTTGTCTTACTTGCAGGCCAAACGGTATCCACTGATGACAGAAGTTGGGTGAATCCTCTGCTTAACCAGCTCATCCGCACTTTTGAGCAGCTCAGCAGCAATGATTACCTTTACAAAAGAAAAAAAAAGTTCACATTTCTAGACCTTAATTTCAAATTTTAACTCCTGCATCTACTTTTTAAAAATAAATGGCAGACAAAGGCTGAAAATGTGTTGTAAATCTCAAAACTCTAAATCATTTCACAGACTCTGCATCACACTGACAACAAAACCATAACACTGCATATTTGCACCATATATATTTAATGCTCTGAACTCTCATATCAATGTGTTTTTTGCACCATGTTTTTCCTCCCACACCGTTTACATTTTATCACTACTGCATTTTATGGAATGGAAATGTCATGCAAGCTGTACAAAACAAAATTTCATTTTGTACACACTATGTATACAAAATTACTATTGATGTTGTCTAAGCCACTTTCAAAATTTTGCCAATATTCCAGACTGACTGACCTTCATTTTAAAAGCAATGATGGCCACCCTTTTATTCTTTACTTAGCTGCTTTTTTCGTGCGATAATACAAATTCAAACAGTCTATTCAGTAGGACTATCAGCTGTGTATCCACCAGACTTCTGCACAACATAACTGATGGTCCCAACCCCATTTATAAGGCAAGCAGGGGGCACCTGTGAAGTGAAAACCATTTCAGGTGACTACCTTTTGAAGCTCATCAAGACAATGCAATTCAGTTTCGATTCAATTTTTTTTTTATATATATAGCGCCAATTCACAACACATTTCATTTCAAAGCACTATACAGTTCACCAGACCATCCAGTCAAATTGATTAAAAGTTTTCCAACTAAGGAAAACCAGTTGATTGCATCGACTCATTGACTCGAATGCAGTTCCTCACACTAAGCATGCTTGTAGCGACAGCGATGAGGAAAAACTCCTTTTTAACAGGAAGAAACCTCCAACAGAACCAGGCTCAGTGTAAGGCTGAGGCAGACTGGGGTTCAAGGGGACAGAAGCAAAGATACAAAAAGCAGCTGCAAAAGGCGGCCCCTTCCAGGAAACACACAGCCAGGCAGACGAGCTCTGAGCCAGCTCCAATGTCATAGGATGAAGAGAGCACATCCAGCCAGTCACAGTCAGAGAAACAGGACTACACTGGAAAAACAGGCAGATCTCTAACATCTATAAGCAAAGCTGCAGCAACAATGCCAAGAGTGTGCAAAGCAGTTATCAAAGCAAAAGGTGGCTACTTTGAAGCACCTAGAGTATTAGAAATATTTTCATTTGCTTTACACTTTTTTGTGAATTAATATAGGCTATAATTATATAATTACATGTGTTCACTCATAGTTTTGATGCCTTCAGAGTGAATCTACAATTTTCACAACCATGAAAATAAATAAAACTCTTTGATTTAGAAGGTGTGTCCAAACTTTTGGTCTGTACTTGCATAAGTTGAGATATGCGTTTGCCTAGGGTTGATAAAAGAAAAAACACTCACCACAGAGGTAGTTCCATCTCCAACCTCCTTGTCCTGCAGGTCAGCCAATTCACAGAGGACCTTGGCAGCAGGATGCTCTACCTCCAGCAGCTTCAGGATGGTAGCACCGTCGTTGGTGATGGTTACGTCCTGTTAGGATGACCAATACTGATAAGAAACCAATCCTGATTTCTACTTGAATACCTTCTTAAAATGTGGAGAAAAGAAAATGACACAGACCCCTATGTCATCCACCAACATCTTGTCAAGGCCCACCGGTCCGAGGGAGCTCTTGACGATGTTGGCGATGGATGAAGCAGCCATGACTATGAAAAAAAAACAAAAGCAGTTATTCCCGCTACCTCTTGAACGTAATGCCTACTTTAATAAAGAGCCACGAATTATGTAATTGTTCTGTCAGTTTATTCGGTGGGGTGCACAAGCAGCTAGCCACACCTTCAGATCACGACAGTGTTTCTCTACCCCATTAGCATAGCCCTCCATTCATTAAACAGTGAGTGGAAGGTACTAAAATGGGGGTGCACAACTGTTGTTAAAACTAAAATTTTCACAAGCTGATGTATATAAAAAAGACTGTAATGACAATACAGGACATCGACAGTTTTGAAAAATAGGACGGAACAAAGCACTGAGACTAGCTATAAAGTTAGTTAGCATTAGCCGCCGCACGTGTGTCGTCTAAAGAAGCTGAGTTCATACTCCGCTTCCTTGTAATACATTAACACGGTTTTTTATTTACTAAAAAATGATATGCACCACAACCTACCATTCTGAGTGCGAACAGACTCGCCAGTAGTTCTCTGGCCGAGCACGTTTAACGGACCATCTAACATCGACATTTTGGACCGCTGCTCCACCGAGAAGAAAGGGAAGCGCTGCCGCAGTGCTTTGTGGGTAAACTGTTAGTGGCCAGAAGGTTCGAGAAGAAAATTTGTCAAAAAAACATTCTTATAGTACAATATGAGGGCCTTTAATAAATAAAAGTAGTCTACCCGTCATTATTTACATGTAATTTGGGTTCATTTAGCAGGTTTGAGTAATGAGAGTAGAACGATATAGCGTGATTACATCTTTTAACTACATTTCCCAGAATCCAACTTGCTTACTTGGAGATTTCAGTGCCGTCGTTTTTACTATCAGGCCCAAATTAGCGCCTCCTGTTGATATTGTTCAGGAGCAATCGTGGAACGAATCCCTCAAAACATCACAATTCATAGCATTAGAACCTTTTTATATTTCAGGTACTTTACAAAGAAACATCTTAAAGGAACAATGCAAAGACATGCATTACCATTATATGAAAAAGGAGGAAGTTATTATGTTTTTTTTTTTTGTAGAAATAATCTAAAATGTGTTGCTTGTATTTGATATTAAACTATTGAGGTGGCATATGACCCTTCACAGCTTCGACTTTTATTGTATTTATTTATTTATTTTTTTGCATTTTTTTCTACATTTGCAATTAGGAGAATATCTTCTCTATCTATTATCTCCAATTGAAATATTATCCATACTCTTTTTTTTTTTAAACTGATACTTTTTAATCACTACATTTAAAGTAATTGCCACAGACTGATTTGAATTGAGTTCAGGATTCTGAAAAAAACTTTTCTAACTCTAAATATTTGTTTAGGGTAATTTTCCTGCTCTTGGTAACATTTGGTAACCTTAAACATGGATTCCAAGTTGCATACATTCTCTAACTGATTTTCTTTACTATTTCCTTCTTTTTACCAACAGTTTGGATCAGCTTTTTCTGAGCCATAAGTAACATACCAAACCAGAAGTTTGGTATGTTTAATGTCTGAATTAACATGATCTACTTTGATGAAACTTAGATTAAACCTTATTACACTATATTTAATTTATATTAGGTGGATATTTATATACCACAAAATAAGATAAAAGTTCTGTTTTACATTATCACTCAATATGTGAAATTAAATATTATTTTTCAGTTTGGCTTATTCATCTTTTAACACTTAATTCTTTTTTCAGATGGAATGTTCTATCTCTTTTGTTTTAGGTCATTCACTGCAGTGGAGAGCAGTCCCAGTCTTTACTAAAGTCATATTTGCAGCCTTAAAATTGGCCTTTAGGGATGAAGGAGACTGTGTTGGAAGCTGATTGTCAGGCTAACCCACAGCAAGAACAATAAAAAAGGGAAGTCAACCTCAACATCTCGCCTCAGCCACTGATTTTCATCTCAATATGTGTTCCTGGACTTACAGCTTTTTTTAACCAGCCCCCTCCTCTTCCCATGTTCCAGAAGGGATTTGGGGTGTATGGGACACAATGTAAAGGCAGACACAGAAAACATCCTATATAAACAATCAGCATGGCGTACCATTAAATGGATCAGGTAGCTCCCTGATTTGTTTCTAAAAAATGAATGGAAGAGAAGTCTTAATCTCTATAAAACTGCATTATGGTGGTTCTCTTCTGGCAGAAAGCAGAGGATGGGAAGCAACACAGGGTTTCTGTCCCTAGAACTCAAAGGTGGCAAATCACAGTTTTACAGCATTTTTAAGGACATTGCTATGAACATTCTCATGGAGAGCAAGCCAGAAGCTGAGCAAGCAATAATTTTTACTTGGGACCACTTGTGGGCATACCAGAGGAGGCCTGTATGAAAAGCAGTTACCTATTTAAACAACTACAAAGCACAGCATTGCACCATCTGTGTGAAAACCACCTCATGGAAATGCATTTATAACTAGTTTTATAGTTAAAAGCTATAGTAGTTACAACACCTTTCCTCCTGATTGCTTTGGCTGTTATAACTGACTATAAGTCAAATACTTCTCCAACCTTCAGATGAGACTTCATCTCTGTGGGCTTAAGTTCTGAGTTGAGACAGCCATTCCAAGTCGACTAGAACATTTTTGGTCATTTTATATTAAAGGGTCCAGTTTTGCTTGAGCTTTAAATGTATAGTGGAGGATGTTGTTTTTCCGGGTGGAGCAAAATTAATGGTCCTCCTAATTGTTGGTCATTCTGGTGATATGTTTATGTGAGGCAGACTAAAGTGCTCGTCCCCATTTTCCCTTACTAGTGGTGAGTATGACATGGTGGAAAAAATGCAAATCTTTTGGAAAGGAGGCTTGTATGATGCAAACAGCAACTTTTAAACAAAGCGTGCACAAGGAGAAATGGGCTCGTGCACGCCGTTGCACGTGATTAATTGGCGTTCCTTCTTGGGAGCAGAGAGGGTTGTGCATTTTTCTCAAAAAGCGGAGAGGGCGCATTAATCCTCCACTATACCTTTCATTTGCTTAAGAAATGGTCTTGTGTTTTCCTCAAGGACCTTTGAATGATTGGTAAAATTGACGGTGGATGCTATCAATGTGAGCTGGTCACTTTCACCTCTATAATTTCAGAGAATTTTGTACTGTATTTGAGCCAGACATTTAGTTTTTTTTCTGCAGTCCAAATAATCAAATCATGGCAAAGGAAAAAAAATCTTCAATTCTATTGGAAAGTTTTAGTCTGGCCAAAGTATTTCTAGGAAAGCAAAGATTTTCTCCTTGCTCATTTCCTTTGAAGTACAGACAAAAGGCCTGCTCTAGGTCCTCTGATGACATGTTGGGATTTTTGAAAATCCCTTTTAGCACCTTACAATCTGCTCTTGGGTTGAACTTGCTTTGCAGGCCTGACCGGGGCTGGTAAACACATATGCTCTACAGTTTTAACCTGGAGTTGCTAAAATGTAAGTCTTCTAAACCAGGGGTCTTCAACATTTTCCAGGCCAAGGACCCCCAATCTGATGGCGAGATGGAGCGGGGACCCCCTAATTATATATATTGTCTGAAATTGTGCAATATCAAACTGTTCCTATAGTCACTCTATTACATATGTAGTAATGTAACAAAAGTAATTTCGCCCTGGAATTATTAAAGTATTTCTGATTCTGATTCCTGGTTGATGGGACAGGTGTTGTGAATGAAACAGTGCCCAGCTTGAAAGAGCTCCTGTGTGTCGCTGAATGTGTGCATTGATGACTGAAAGACATTTTCTGCCTCCATTTATCTGTTTACTACAGCATGCTGAATTCATGTTAATGTGTATTTAAATACATTTCAATTAGTGAAAAAAAGTTGCAGGGGGAGTATAAAAAAAAAAAAAATGCTGATCAACCAAAACTTTCGCGACCCCCATGCAGTAGCTCTGTGGACGCCCAAGGGGTCAAGGACCCCCTGTTGAAGACCTCCGTTCCAAACTATAAGAACATTTTCCAGCACTGCCAAAATAGTGAAATCATTACATAGTTTACTTCCAACTGATTTCAGAATTATTCTAAACTATTCATTCTTAACTGATGTGAAGGTATATACTTCACATCAGTTAAACATTATAGTATTTGTTTCTCAAATGAAAGAAAAACACAGACATGTAGAATAATCTGAATTTATTAGCTCAGATACATTATTCTGTTGAGCAAAGATGACTAGTCAGTTACAAAAATACAGTATACTTAACTTAAACGTCAAAGCATTATAAAGCACATCTATGGCATACAAGAATAACTCCTAAAATGTACAACTTTACAAAGTGTTTACAAATAAGATGTAAAATGAAAAAGTGCAAAAAAAAAAGAGACAAATTACCACCCATAAAACATTGTACAACAAAAACATACTTCATTTTCCTTTTTTGGATTTGTTGTTTTATCTATTTTGCCTTTTTCCCACATGTGCTTTGTTATTTTAGTAATTTATGATTCAATAGTGCATGAAAAAAAAATTCCAACAATATTCACAGTTTTTTTCATATTTTGAGTCCCTAAATAATAGCACAGCTGTTAATAAATATCTTTTACTCTGATTTACAGTCTGTGGCACTGGTGACTCAGTGGGAAAATTGGAGCGCAGTCAAACAAATACCATATATTTGTCATGAATGTGTACTTATTTTATATAAAATCAAACAAAGCTGTTTGTAAATTTCTGGGTAATAAAACAACCCTGAGCCTTAAAGTGTCCTTGATAGTAATGTGAATTTCCTTCTGTGAGTGAGGATGTAAAATCAGTAGTGTGATAGAGTTCCATAAAGTAAATACAAATATATTTGTATTTGAATAAAATAAAAATACACCAAATACAGTACTGGAGTCTATAAAACCAATTGACCTCTTTACCCTTGTGGTCCCTAAAACAAAAATTCAAATGAGCTGATTTTAGGAGACAAAAAAACAAAACAAAATAGCACTTACTTGCATCATCTACTGCATGTAAAGCAATTTTTCATATTTGCTCTCAAATTTTATTGATACTCGTAATTTCTTAAAGAATATCTTGAATTTTTTTTTAAACATAACACTCCAAAGGTGACCATAGAGAGAGAAAGACCGAGTCGCTATTTTGAAAATTGACTAAACCTCCACCTATAGGAACAATTAACCTACTGGATTGTAAAGTAACCTCAAATATTTGTTTTCATAAAAGCTCCTAAAAGTTACACGCTAGCCTGAGCAGTATATCTGAAGTTGCACAAATCCGGAACTGTAAAAGCAGTTTGTTCACAAATGTTCAATGTCATATCTTAGCTTAGTTAAGAAGAATAGAGGTTGCATGCTAAGGCTTTTCCGCTAAGAACAACAACGCAGTTAAATGTTCTTAGGAGCAAAGTGATCCGATATTCTGAACTACTGCATCTGTACAAAAAAAATGTCCTAAAAGAATCAGATGTAAAACAGTTTAGAAGTTTTGAAATCATAATTAATCACAAGAAATCGCAATTCTAATAATTCTTAGAAGGAAGTTCACATAAAAGCTAATGATTAGAGATGACCTATACTTTTTTGACCTATACTTTTTGTTATATCTGTAACATAGTTCACTAGAAATAAAGCTGCAATCCAGGTATTGCTTTAATAGATGTATTATTTATGTCTAAGATGTGAAGGGTTAGTATG